GCAGCCACGCCAACTTTCTCAGCATCACACGGTCCATGTCTACTATTTAAAAATCATGATATTCAGCTCCGTAGAGAAAGTCCGTGAACTTAGTCATCGCATGGCAAGTCACCTCCATAGAGGTTCAGTGCGAACCAGAGACGCTGGGAAGCAAAACGCTTCCAAAAATTCTCGGGACAACACGATACTGTGCTCCAACCATTTCATACATCTGATCCAGTACAAAATCAGATGAAAACTCAGCTGGGGCAGCCATAGCTGTGCTCAAAGCGGTTTGCTGGTCCAGGAGAAGGCGTCGAAAAAGGCAGCGTCAGAAAAAGAGCTCCTATCATCACTGATATCATGGAAGTGCTTAGAGTCCTGGGACTCCATGTTCCAGATTTCTTTGGAGCCAAGCACTTCTGGAAACATGAAAGAATGAATGACAAGCTGATCGCACGCTGCCTGGCCAAAACTTCAAACTGAACATCAATGACAAGAAAAGGCCGCTGTCTTTTTCCAAGGCCATGCCCCATCTTGGCCGTCAAAACCTCTAAAACTATTCACAGCTGCTCTTCAGTCCGTCTGAGTCCCTTGGGACACAAGGACAGGCGTTGAATCGATCCTTTTGCAGATCTGAATCACCCGTTTTCGCATATTTACAGATTGCACATAGCCTGATGCGCACAGCAGGCACCGTCACTTCTTCTTCTTTCTCTTTTACACGCTTCCTTTTCTCATTAAACGCAGTCCAATTTGACTTCCCAGGCTTCCCAGAGCGGTTCTTTTTTGCTGAGGCTTCGCATCCTGGCTCTGCTTTCACCTTTGGCAGCCCCACTGTGCTGTCAGCACTTGGCTCCCTTTTCACCTTTTGCGGCTTCACTGTGGGAAGCATGTCACCAGCCATTACCCCTGTCACAGGAGCCAAACTTGCGATTAACCACCTGCCTAGCCAAGGCAAAAGCATGATTTCAATTGCTGGCGTTGTTGTTGTGGTTGTTGTGGTTCTGGCTGTGGTTGTGATTGTTTTTTTCCCTCTTGTTTGTTGTTTCTTGTTTGTTGTTGCTGCTGTTGTTGTTGTTGTTGCTCTTGCTGGTGTTGTTGCTGTTGCTTTTGCTGTCACTGTCTGCTGTTAGTTGTTGGTTGTTAGTAGGTATAGTAGGTATAGTAGGTATAGTAGGTATAGTAGGTATAGTAGGTATAGTAGGTATAGTAGGTAAAGTAGGTATAGTAGGTATAGTAGGTATAGTAGGTATAGTCGGTATAGTCGGTATAGTCGGTATAGTAGGTATAGTAGGTATAGTAGGTATAGTAGGTATAGTAGGTATAGTAGGTATAATAGGTATAATAGGTATAGTAGGTAGTAGGTAGTAGGTAGTAGGTTGTAGGTAGTAGGTTGTAGGTTGTAGGTTGTAGGTTGTAGGTTGTAGGTTGTAGGATGTAGGATGTAGGATGTAGTAGTAGTAGTAGCAGCAGTAGTAGTAGTAGTAGCAGCAGTAGTAGTAGTAGTAGCAGCAGTAGTAGTTGTTGTTGTTGTTGCTGTTATTTTGGTTGTGGTTGTGGTTGTGGTTCTGGTGGTGGTGGTGGTGGTGGTTTTTGTTGTTGACTTGGGTGAGCAACGCGGCTGCTGCGGCAAGAACAACAACACAACAATGACAAGAACAATAAAGTACAAAAACGAGAACAAACAACAACAACAACAACAACAACAACAACAACAGCGACAGCGACAGCGACAGCGACAGCAACAACAACAACAACAGCAGCAACAACAACAACAAAACAAACAACAAACAACAAAGCACAAACAAAAACAACAAACAACAAACAATAAACAACCAACAAGAACAAAAACAAGAACAAGAACAACAACAACAACAACAAGAACAACAACAACAACAACAAAGAAGAATAATGAGACAAAACAAACAACCCCAGAGCACAAAAAAGAAACCAAACAACCGCTATACAACACCAAGGCGAGTGGCTGCGAGTGGCTGCGAGTGGCTGCGAGTGGCTGCGTGCTGGTAGAAATACATGGCAGAGTTGGCATCTTGAAAAAAATTGGTTTTGCTGGAAAGGCGTTTTTTTTTTGTCAAGTTTGGAGGTTGGATAGGTCGGATTTTATCGTCCCTCACGAAACCATGTGGCTAACCATATGCCACCCATGTCGTCCATAGCGTGGGGAAGATCTTGGGGCGTAGCATCAACGGTGGTAGAACGGGAAAAAATTAAAAAGAAGATCTTGGAGAATAGCTCCAATGATGGTGCAATGTTGGAAAGTCGAAGGGAAGATCTTTGAGCGTAGCAAAATGACGGTAGAATGTTGGAAATGGAAAAGATATCCCAGAGCGTAGCATCAATGATAGAAGAAAATGGAAGAGAAGATCTCAGAGCGTAGCGTCAAGTATGTTAGAAAGCTGAATAAAAGATCTTAGAGCGTAGTGTCAGTGATGGTATAATGTTTGAAAGTTGATGAAGAAAACACCTTAGACGGTCCATGATGCGAAAAAGATGAAAGAAAAATGTTACAGCATCAACGCAGTACTATGTAAGAAAATCAAAGAGAAGACCTAAGAGCGTAGCAACAACTTTGCTAGAAACTTGAAGGGTAGCAGCTAGCATGAATCAGGGTAGAATGTGAGAAAATTCAAGAGAAGATCTTAGACCGTAGAATCACTCATGGTAGAATGTTTGGAGTATAGCATCAATGATGACGAAATGTTTGAACGTTGATTAGATCTTAGAGCGTGGCATGTTAGAAAATACAAGAGAAAACCTTGGCACGTAGCGTCAATGATAATAGAAAGGTGAAGAGAAGATCCAAGAACGTAGCATCAATGATGCTACTGTAGAAAATTGCAAACAAGATCGTCGAGCTAAGGGTCAGTGATGCTCAACACTTGAAAAGAAGATCTTAGAGCGCAGCATTGATGATGTCAGAACATGGAAAAGAAGATCTTAGAGAGTCGCGTCAATGATGTTGGTCTTGGCGCGTAGCATCACTGATGTTTCAATTTTGAAGTAAAGATCTTGGAACGTAGCTTTAAGTATGTTGGACAATCGAAGAGAATATCTTAGAGCGTAACATCAAACATGTTTGAAAATTGAAGAGAAGTTCTTAGAGTGTAGCATCAACGATGGTACAATGGGAGAAACATGGAAATAAATTCGAAAAACATAGCCCCTAAGTCTCCAAACCGCTGCCCACAACAGGTTCTGAATAGGAAGCCTGTAAATACAAACATCCACCTGCCAAGTACGTGAATACGAACAGTGAATTCTGACACCAAGTTAAGCCTGTGAATTTCAATCTGATAGTTTCAGAAAGATGCCTGAGGGCCCCCACTTCGAAGCACACTGGCAGGAAGTGTCGGTTACTTTTTTTCATTCACGCCCCACTCGCTCACGCAAACTCATTCATCATCTTCAGACGATGATGAGCTTGACTCACCCCAATCTTTGTAACGCAGGCGAACATACACCTTTTGCAAAATAGCTAGCTCAAGGGTCACAGCATGAGATCTCCTAGCAATCCGTTTTAGGAATTGGTTCCAATCTTCTTGCCGAAAGCAACTCCAGAATCTGCTATTGATTCCTTGGGTTGCCAGAAAATGAAATTGCATACCCCAAGGGTTCAAGAAATTGAACATAGCAGGTGAATCAATACCAAGACACCATGGATTTCCACTTGGAAGGCAATCTCTTGCCAAGCCTCGTGACAATTTTGCATGGTGACTTAACAAAGAAGCAAAGCTAAATTTAATACACCACTGAACGCAGAGCATGCAACCTCTTGCCAATGCCTTTTCTTTTGACAAGGGCATGGCACTTGGGCTTGACCGGAAAGAGGAACCTATTGTCCCCAGCAGCTTTCAATGCAAGCTTGAAATACGCATCCAAACTTCGATCCTCAGCTCAGCATTGTGATAGAAAGTTGTAGAAAGGCAGCAGCTTGGAGACAATGGGTATTGCAGCAGAGTTTCACAGCAGTCATGAAGCTGGGAAATTGTGGGGTCATCTGGGTACCGCCCGCTCGCTTCCGAGACATTGTACCATTTGGCATGGTAGAACCTCACCAATCAGAATTTATTAATAATAACGCAGGTGAATCATATAAACTTGCAAGTGGCCTTCATGTTGCACAGCTCAGTGAGCAGAACAGAGCTAAGGGGGAGGCACACACTCAGTGAGGAGGTGTAAGTATGATCCAGTAGGCTCATCAGCATCTCGCATGAGCTCGCATAGAAGATCACTAAGCCATCCAATCACCACACGGCACTTAGATAAAACATGCCAATAAAAACAACTTGATGCTCATCATCTGACACACAACCTATCAGTCGCAGCAATGAAGCTTGCATCTACGAATGCACCATCTAGTGTGATCCCCAGACCAGGATGGTATGCTCAGGGCACTGGTAGACTTGTTTCAAACATTTCCAAACATTTAAGTTAAGGGACATTCCACGCTTTGGCGTGAAGTTCTGCAAACTCACTTTGGCCCACAAAACTGCTCGGTTTGAATTTGGGCTGGCTGTGCCTGGGCTCATGGTTGGCATCCAACCGCGTTTGTAATGGACAGTTGGGTATGATGCTTGTTTCAAATTCATTGAATACAACAAGCTATGTGCAATCAATTTGCTGGATTTTTTTTCGCTTCGTCCAATTCTTGAAATCCACCCATGCATCATAGAAGCATTCCGCCGGATCCCGGTCATTCCCACCCCAGAGCTGCAGGTCCTCCTTCAAGACAATGAGTGCACCAGCTGCCACCCAAGTCGAGACACCAAGGTTGAGGGAATGCATTGAACAACACTTTATTTGCATCGGGTCAAAGAAGTTCAACTTGGTAAGTACACCTCAGGTGAAGAAGCCTGTCAAGGGTTCAAATGATACTAGCCAGCGATGGTTTCCAAGTAGAAAATTCCAGGGACACCCCAATTTCAGCCCAGCTACTCTTTTCACCTGGTTGGGTAGCATGTCGCATAAAGTTGTCATAGTCTCTCCGGGGAACGTTTTTCAATGGATTCGGTACCCTGATAAAATTCCACTTGGTCAACGTGCAAGCATGGCAAATTTGCGAACATTTCCACCATGCTGTGAGGTCGAACCATTCCTCAGTTGAAGGATGATCAAATTCAGGGAACCACATGTTGAAGGTTCCCCATAAACATGAATATTATTAAGATCAGCTCTGGTTCCAATGGTGCAATTTCAGGGGGGTTGACAGAAAGCAATCCATTTCCCATTACACTAAATACGACAAATTTTTACTGTGTGACCCAATGAAGTATTTAGTATAAGGGGGAAGGGATAAATAGAATGCGAAAATCTTGCAAAACTCTTCAAACCCAAACACCCTATGCCATTTCCAATCACCCAAGAAATCAGTGGTCAGGCACCGAATGGTTCGGTTTTCAGCATCTGGAGTTTTGCCAGGGACAGCCACCCCAGTAGAAAGTCGGTTCAGGGATTCCACCACCTCAGGGTCAGTTTGCAAAGCCCTGCCCCATCAGAAAAAGGTTTCAAACCCTGTTGCCTGATCTCTCTGCCCAAGGCCACCAAGAAACCGGAGCCATGAAAGCTTGGAGCGTTTCGAAACCCAGAGACAACTCCTGGGCTGGAAGGTGGCTGGACACCAACCAAAATTTATGTTTCATTTTTTCAAAACATGGACTGCATTGGACTCCTGAAGTTGTATGCATCCTAGGCTCCAACCTGTAAGTGAACAACGGGTAGACTGTATCCTTTGAATTTTTCCTCTCATCCAACCAGCTCCCACAAACCACTGAGACAATCTTCTCATTCCGTTCATTGAAGATCGCATCATCACCCCACAGGTAGATAGGAATGTAGATACCCCCCGTCTCTATGACACGCTTCACCCAGGGGATATTCTTCATGGCCATGTGGTTCCAGTATTGAGACACCGCGTCATCACTTGGAATGGCCTCTTCCTGGTGTTTCAAAAGCCATGGGAACAAATGCTCGGGTAGTACAACTGGCATTTTCCTGAGTAGACAGGAGTGAAAAAAGTATAAACTTCATAATCATGTGCATGTGCACTATTGAATGCAGTGAAGACTCTTCATTATTCTCTTGTCATTTTTTCCTCGAAGTGGGACCTCCACCATGGTGACTGGAACCTTATAGACCATGCAGTAGTGATTCCAAGAAGGAAATACAATGCTTCCAATTCCAATTGTTTACTTTCTACACGGGATCAAAATCAACGTACCAATGATAATAATGGGTGGCGCGAACATAAACCACACAGATTCAAGATAGGCTGTAAACAATCACCGAGAAACTACTTTGGTCACTTGTCGCAGCATGTCCCGGGCTATGTTCTGTTTCCAAGTTCCAGCTGCCCCAGCTGATTGGAGTCGACGGGCTGGGCCACTCAACTCCACACCATGAAAGCGAAGCTCCTGAGCACAAGTCTGGTAGAGGGGCCCAACCCTAGCAAGTGAACAATAAACCATCCCCATCCTTCTATATCACACACCAACTGAGAATAATGTGTGTTTTCAAATCAAGGGGCTTCAAGAAGATTATGTTATTGATGAACAGGCTCTGGAGATATTAATATCATCTTGAGATTACCTGGTAACATCATCCAACCTATAGTGAGTGAACAATAGACCATCCCCATCCTTCTAAATTTCCCACCAACTGATAATAATTGTTTTTTTCAAATCAAGGGGTTTCAAGAAGATGATATTATTGATGAATAGAATCTGGAGATATTAATATCATCTCGAGATTACCTGGTAACATCATCCAACCTATAGTGACTGAACAATAAACCATCCCCATCCTTCTATATCACCCACCAACTGAGAATAATTTGTTTTTTCAAATCAAGGGGTTTCAAGAAGTTGATATTATTGATGAATAGACGCTGGAGATATTAATATCATCATGGGATTACCTTGTAACATCATCCAACCTATAGTGAGTGAACACTAAACCATCCCCATCCCTTTCCCACCGAGCAAACGGAATATGATTTGATTTTTCAATCCAGGAGGTTCCAAGAAGATGACACATATATTTCAAGATCCTGGGGTAATGGTTATATAATTTTGGGACTAAGTCTTGAAACCATCACTCCCTCTGGTCCTGCTGGACTGCTTGGATTGTCTCATGCGAAGCCGCGAATGATGATTCCTAAGCCATCTGGCTGAGGCTGACCCAAAAGTCATTTCAAAGGACCACGGCAAGCAGATCAAAGGGAGAGGACAGGTTTGGTGGTATCCAAATGCTGCCTAGGAACACCCCCACCTGCTCTGGCTAGGACATAATCAAAGATAGGTGAAGTAACTGGTGCTCCCACACCTGCGACGGGATAACATGGCAAGGGGATAGTAATCCAAGAAAAAGGGTCACAGAGTGGTTCTACCGAACATGCAGCCTGAGGTATCTACCATGTTTTTCTGTTGGGAATTTTGATCGTATATTTTTTGAAAGATTTAGAGGTTTGAGCACTCATAGTGAAAAACTGCAAAACAAGTTAGCAACCATATATAAAGATTAGGGGTGTACAAGCGTTGCCACGCATGATCCATCAGAAATTAAGAGTGATGCAACTGGATACACATGGAACACAACCGGAGGAATCTCCAAATCTTCTCCAGCAATAGCCTAGTTTGGAACTTGCTGGACAACCTACTAATATGGAGCTACTTGGCCAGGGTGAGCATGCTAAGCCCACTCACGGGACTAGCTGATGAAGAGAGGCTGCTCATGTCTTTGAAGGCTTTTTTTTTGAAAAGGACACTATGCCATTCTGAAGGAGGAGGCAACCATGGAGAAGCTGATCATAGTGGCTAGGTAACAAAAAATGCATAATTTGGCAAGTACCATACTGTTAGTTCACAACCCCCAAGAACAATCCAAGAACCCGCTGTCACATTTTCACTTCCAGTTTCTCAGCAGCGCTGGTCACTCCATAGCCACGCACACCTTTGGGGCCCTTGCCACTCACTGACTTGAAGAAAGGTTTCGTGTTTACTTACCCCATATTAGATGAATATTGTCACATAATTTCTGGTTCAGGGATATCCTTAAACTCATTCAGGGCCCCTTTTACTGTGTCCTGCTGGCACGCACCGCACCCTACACCCCTGGTCTAAAGATCCATATCACATATTACCAGCTGCTTGGCCTTTTGCATTCCCAGGGGGTGTCAAGCAAATGTAACCAGATCTTTTGCACAACATATATCTCAGGACCCAGGTAGCAACACATGATAACAGAACTGGACCATACATTTTAATCAAAAACATGTTTTGGATCCCAGGCTCTAGCAGACCTATGCCCAGCAGCGGTAACACCCAAAATTCTTGAGTTTGAGAATTGAGCATCTCACCACTTGGAGATGCCAACGTACATTTCATTCAACAATTTGAAGAATGAACAAACCTTTCATGGTGCATCCCTATGAAGCCTCCTGCTTCACAGCAGCAACTCCCACCGTTTCCGCTTCAGGAGCTGCCGGAGCAACTGCAGCGGGCACAGAAGGCTTTGGACTGGTAGGAGCGGCCTTTGCTTTGGCTCTTTGTTTCGGTGGGGCCTTGGAAGTAGCACATGAGAGTGCCAAAGGATACGCATCTGAAATTGTGGCCAAAAGTATTGGGAAGCTATTCAGCAACATAATGATAGAATGAAAAGAAACACTTCAGGGCTGTTAATCACTTTGAAGGATTTTTTTCTTTATCACTAATTGTGGGCGCTTTGCATCTCTCAGCTAATTCAAGCTACAACAGCTGCCTTCACAATCTTAGTACCGGAGGCGAAACTCAGGATGATTGTGTCTGCGGATCCAATCAACTTATCCATCTTGTCCTTCAGTTCACCTACAATGTTTTTGTCATCATGACGTTCGGAATAGAATTCCTCAAGCTTCATTTTGGAGTCATTGAGTTTGTTCTGGATCGCGGTCAGCTCCCCCAGGTAGCCATCCTTCATGGCTTGGGTCCTCAAAGAACACAGAACCATAGAAAGGGGTTGAGCAAGTTCCTCATTGGAAACCATGTATAAAGTAAACACCCCAAAAGGTCCCATGGCAGAAAAAAATGTGGGGTGGTTCCACTTCACAATTAACATCAATTAACAATAACATACCTAATTTTACCTCAATGGTTGTCTATATGTTCGTTTTAATTCCTGTGAAGTACCACCCCAAACCATAGATTTTAAGTGGTCTACTCCAATAGAATTTGACCATGTGATGGGTGAGGTGCAAATCCAAATATCTCCCAAAAACAAACGAATTTCCTTGGGGCCCAAATAGAAAATGACTGATCAACCACTGGCACATGTTTGCATTTTGGACCTGGGTCATGATGCAACGAACTTCAGTGAGCTTAGTAGACAACGAAGTGATTTTGTTGGAAACTTTCTTGTTGTGCTTCACCACAGGGTTTTCCTCCTGGTCCCCTGCACCTTCTTCTCCACCCTTACCCTTCTTTGACTTTCTCTTGGCCTTCGCCTTCGGGACATTCTGATTGGGGGATGCCCCCTCACCAGGAGGAGGAAGCGCATCACGCTGCTTCGCATCACCGGGCTGCGGGAAGGACCCTGCAAATCCTTTGTCGGAAAGCAGCCGTTGCCTGGGCAGAGATATGGAAAGGTGGAGAAATCACAAATGAGGGCATACGAAATACAATGTGGTAGGTGATCAAAGGGGGGTGGGTTACCTACTGACACAGAGGAGGATTGCAATACCATAATAGAAAAAGTGCACCATATCACAAGCTTTCGCTATCTTTTTAGCGCATAATCATGGGAATTATTGACAGATTCATGTTGGTCACACCAAGGTACTAATTATATATATGTGTGTTCATTGTTCAAAACAAAACCCAGGATCAGATCAGAATGTGGGACGTTGAAACATTTTTTAAGTTCAGTCACGGATTGAAAAATCTGCGTTGACACGAACCTGAAACTATACTGTATAAATATCTTTATGTCACTACATTGCTTGTTTCTATTCACGGTATAAGTTGGTATCTCACCAAGTCTCAAGTGTCATATTAATAGAAGATGTAGCAGGGTATTTGTGTAAATTACATGTGGGCTTTTTGTGCTATAATAAATAAATAAATATATATATATATATTAATTATATTCATATACACATAAAATATATATATATATATATATGATACCATAGCTACATACATTTGAGTTACGTATATATGCAAATGAATATTATATATATATGTTATATAAGTTGTAATTTGACAGCAAAACGGATCGAGGGAACGCAGCATCATCAGAAAGGGATGTCGAGAGAAAGAAATGTCAAGGAGAAAGAGTTCCAAGAGATCACACAGTCAACAGCTGTGACAACCAGGCGGTCTCGCTTCATTCCTATAGGCTTTCCCTTGTCTTTATAGGCCCCCCTCCTTCAAAATTTCCGTCACCTGGCTTGCCCAGGCTGTCCCAGGCTCTACTGGCATGTCAAAAATTAACAGCATGTCAATCAGCCTGGCACAGTGCCACTGCTGCCGTGATATTTTCAGCAGTCTAAACCTTCTCACTGATGAAGAGCGCTGTAAACCAATGGGCACTGTGGGACCAGAACCTTCCTTTCTAAGGCCCTACCTTGTTTTCTGTAGGCGTCTTATCTTTGAAATTTCCAGCCCAAATCTTGGGTTCCAATCTGCCTAGGCACAAGAGACCACGAGAGGCTTCACCTTCCATATGGCCATCATGCCTGACACCCCACTCTCGTTTCTTCATTTCCTCATCCTCCAAAACCAAGCTATCCCACACTCGGAAGAGTTCATACTCCTGCATCGCTGTCAAATGAAATTGGGATCCAGTGGGTGTTGCAAATTCACTGCCCCAAAATGTGTTGGTCTCATTGTGCAACAGCAAGTTGGACCTAGAAAGAAAAAAAATGTTCTAGTGCAAGCCGCCTCATTATCTGGCACCTCTGGGTGCTTCAACCAGAAAGCCTCTTCATGAGCAGCACGGCTCTTCTCTGCCTCCTTCTTCTTCAGGCGGATGTCTTTGGCAATCGGCAGTCCATAGAGGTCGGTCAAGTCTTTGAAACTCTTGTAGACATAACGGCCACGCTTGGTCGAGTTGAACTGCTCACAAGCATTGGAGTATGTAGCACTTTTGCTCCAATCGCCCTTTGCACACAGCCAATCCTCGTACAACTGCTGCAAGAGGTGCCGGTCTCAGTTGCCATGCTACCACAAAATCAACATTTGCTTTTAAATTATGAGCTATATCCCACTGTCAAAATCGAAAGGTGGGGTTCTATTTGTGGGTGCCTAAAAAAGGACTGCTCAAAGTAAAGGCACTGTGACGTCTACCAGCAGCTTTTTCAAGCACTTCTGGCGGACAGCCAGGTCCTTGGCAGAGTGCCAAATGCAAACAAACTTGGCGGAACCAGGGCCCCAAGATCAAGATCCCCAGGATCAAGATCCCCAGAAAATCAAATATTCCACACATGTCCATGCTTAAAAATGGTACAAACGAAGCCAATGCAAGATGCCTTCAAAGGACCTAGAGAAAGCAACGTACGAGTTGTGGGCAAGTCGCTTTCCTCTCTCCTCCAGGCTCTCCAGCTTTCCTCTCTTGTTCATGTACTTGTAGGTTCCATCGTCCATCAGCACTGCGCATTTCTGAAGCTCGTCAGCTTCCAGCTCACGAGTGTTTGCCCTGAAGAACTGGTTCTGGGTCGTGTCTTTGCGTTGCAGCTCCTTGGACACTGCCTCGACACCGGACGGAGCAGAGCCATCAGCCTTCTTCACCTCAGGCTCATCTTTGGCAAGGTCAACAGTAGGCACTTCTCCAGCAGCAGGAGCAGGTGGAGAACCATGATCCATAGGCTGTCCATCAGGGAGAGGCTGGGTAGGAGTCGAGGCATTTGGAACAGGAACAGGAGCATGGCCACCCTCCAAAGCATTCTTCACAAGGTTCTGGACAGATCCAACAAGGGCATTCCGCACTTCATCAGGAATGTGGCTTTGTGCCACCACGTTGTCAATGGCTAGCTTCATAGCTTCGTAAGTGTTGGTAATCATCATGGGTGGCGTTTCTGTTGCTTCTTCAGCTGGCACAGTCTTCCCACCAGGCAAGGCCAAGTCAGGGCATGGTGTTGGTTCACCACCTTCATGCTGACTGGTTGGCACATCATCCCGTTGAGGCCCCGCAGAGTTTGGAGTATCGATGCACATGAGCAACTCAGCCTCCAATTCCGCAATCAAATCGTCGTCGCGTGCAGAAGCTGCCTGCAACTTCTTCTCCTTGAACTCCTTGTGGGAAGACAGCACCAGCCCAACCACCAAGTTCTCAAAGGCGGATCTGACCTCCACATGGACTGCCTCACGTTTCTCCACACTCATCTCCCCCTTCTCACGGCATTGGTTCACCCAAGATTCAAGGAGTTTCTTCCTTGATTGCAACTCTTCCTTGACTGCATCCTGATCTTTGGCACTTTGAAGCATCTCTGCAAGGTAGGTCTGGAACTTCACCTCAGCAGTCTTTGCAGCAGCACTGTTGACTTTGACAGCGTTTGCCTTGGCTTTCTCCAGCTCCTCAGACGAAGTTCTCAGTTCTTGGAATGCGACAAGAGCATCAGCCACCACCTCAGGCATGGTCTGCCTTTCTTTCAACGGAATGGTGTTTAATCCCTTGAGCCATGAGACCGTTGCTTCCTCAAGCTTGTAGCGGCCAAACTTCTCAGGGTCCCACCCACGCTCGAAGTAGGGCAGCAATGCCATGTTCAAGGACAAACTAGAATCTCGAACAAGATCCTCCACGTGGGGGCTGCACACAATGTCCTCCAAGCTTTCGGATCTGCCAAGACGCAGCCGCGCACCCTCATCAAAGAAGGATTGTGAACCTGATTGGACAGAAGAAACATCAAGGGAGACAATACATGAATAGAATTGATGAATATAGCAAAAGCATATTCTTTTTAATACCGATGGAAACATTGATAGATAAGTAGATGGGTGGATAAATAGCGGATAGGCAGAGAATTGGAAATAGTATTAAAGCTAGCTGGACAGATAGTTTCATACAAAAATAGATAGATCGATATAGATGATATAGATATAGATACAGATATAGATCGATATGTATATATATATATACACCTTTATTTTTGATATTTGAATATAGATATAGATACAGAAATATGTATATATTAAAATATTTACATATTAAATATAAATAGATGGATCTGGATAGATATAGATAAAAATAGATTTTGATATAGACACAGATATGGAACATATCGGTATAGATTTAGATACAGATACGATATAGATATTAATTCAGAAAGGGATGGGTAGATAGATATAGATAGATAGATGGATGGATGGATAGATAGATAGATAGATAGATAGATAGATACATAGATAGGATCAAAAGGATCGATAGGTACATAGGTAGGTATAGGTAGAAAGGTGGATGTACATCAAAAAATCACATGATACAAAAACTACAGTCGCGAATAGATGATGTCAAGCAGGGAAGGATCAATGTTTCCAAGGGTTGGAGGGCCTAAAACCAGCAAATTGGTTTCCCCAGTAAAGTTAGTATTACAAAGTTTTCGATGTCATTTTATTCCATACGGCAGGCCCCCAAGTAAAAGATAATAAAAGATGCACAGAACAGGAAGCACCAAAATTTTGGGTTCTACATGGGTGTCTCCAAACTTGGGGGCACAGTTCCACTTGCCAAGGGATATAGCCACAACCATAGGGGTTGTGTTGAAACTTATGGAGAAACAAAACCACGCATAGTGGTTCAGAACTGCATCGCTGAAGATATTTTCAGCCTACAGGTGTTCAATTAGTTTTTTGTACAACCCAACCAAGCCCCAAATAAGGCCAAGGAGCCAGTCTCATAGGGCGGCAGCTCCGCAGGTGAATCCTCATGGGTTTAAGGGCTGGCAGTAACATTATCTTCTTCGAGCGTACATTGAAGAATTGGGGGTGAAAATAAAAATGATCAAACAGCTTCAGGATACCATCACTTCTTGCACACGTTGTGCTGAAACAGGCGTTTTCTCCACGGCATTAAGCATGGCATCGAACTCTGGGGTGAGGTCCCTAGGGGTGACCGGTGTTCCCTTCTCACCAGGAGGTGTTGATGCCATAGGTGTAGGGCTATCACACAAAGTTTCTGGTGTAGGGTCTTCCTCCTCATCTGGTTCAACAGTAGCCAAGCGAACCTTTTTGGTGTCAGGGCTTTTGATAGGAGGTGACACCACTGGGGGCAGAGTCTTTGAAGCCGCTGGGCTCGCCACTGGCCGCTTCACAGGAGCAGCAGGAGCAGCAGGAGCAGCTGCCTTTGCCACAACTTCCTTCTGGCCTGAAATCCCAGCTGTTGGTTGGATGGAATGGGCAATTCTGATCATGGTAGAGCATTCAAGCCATTACATGATTTGATTTGTGTTTCACAAACAAAACGTTTGTTGGGGTCATCATTCCAAAAACAGATTTCCCGGAATTAATCATACATTCACCCTTTTAGACGCCAAACCTAAAGGCCTATAGGCTATAATTACATGTATGACCCATCCCAATTCACTCCTAGAACCAAAGTTTTCCCACTCAATCCTGAGCAATAATCGAGAGTTTGAATCCATTTCGGGACCAATCCTTATCTAACCCATCAATTTAAGAAACCAATTGTTTTCAACCAACAAGGCACATGGGCGCTTGGTCTTGATACGTGCCAACGCATCAGCCATCTCCTTTTCCAAGTCAAAGGAGGCCATTGTAGCCAGTCACCTTAGAAGAGCCAACATGTGGTCATTGAGGCCTTCTGCAGATGATGTTTGATAGGCAAGTACCTTTGATTTACTGATTTGGTTCAATTTCCAATGGGGAAAAAAGCAATGTTTCAAATTTGAGGCCAGGAACGCTCACCAGTAAGCACTGATGGCGCCACAACCCTACGGGGCAACCACGATCTTGATCCAAAATCCTGAAAAAAATCTTCCGGGTAAATTTAACGGAATTTCACGGAATTTCACACCCAGAACTTCGTATTTACAGTTTTTAACGGAATTTCACGAAATTTCACATTCGTCATCTGTCATAAATTTCACGGAATTTCACGGAATTTCACACCCAGAACTTCGTATTTACAGTTTTTAACGGAATTTCACGAAATTTCACATTGAAAAAAAGTTGGCAAAATAACTCACACAGTCACAGGATAACCTTTTTTTGAGGACAAACCTGGAGTAATGTTGTTTTGTGGGTACATTGAATTCAGGAGAAGCCCCCCTTGAGTGTTGGGTGGGTAAAAAGGATGGTAGTTATTGGTAAATGCAGTTGACGCCGGCAAACTTTGTGGCAAAAGAGGTGGTGCAACTGAAAGGTCTTGGCACCACAGGGCCAACTTTGCCCTTCGAAGGCAATCGCTTGACGGTGATGGCTCTGCCTGTGAAGTGTTTCCAGGATGCCTGACCGGGTAGGTCTCTGAGGAACCCTTACAAAAACAATGTGCTTCTGATGAACGAGGGCCACCACTTGACAAGGCCTATGAAGGCTGTATCAGCCTCACAGCTGGACAAGCTTCGCAAGCCCGTGGAGACAACTTTCCACAACAACTTTGAGGTTGCCCTGGACTTCTTGCAGACACAGTCTATATACTGGTTGAAAGAAATCATTTGGGATATATCGTTTTCAACCAATTATATATACATAGTTGAATCAGATGAAATTGAAAAGCCACCTTCACTCACCTTTAGAAACCAATCATTATTTCAGGATTTCAGGAAACTCAATCTTGCCCTGGCGGAGTTGGCAATCATACCAGTGGTGCAAAATAGTGGAGTGCATTTTTATATACTACGGTCAGAAGAAAGATGGTCAACACGAGTTATAGGTCTGAAAGTATGGTCATGGGGAATGGTGCAACCTCAGTTCTGCACAACAGTCCTGGCAAAAAAAGAAAATAAATTCGTCCATCCAATCTGGTTGTTTTCCCAACATATTTCTGAAAGGTATTTGCATTGGACTAGCCTCAGTCACAGGGCAACAAAGGGCTTGGTCAACCTAGCCAGTGAGGCTTTTTAGCACTCGTTCAAAATCTTGTTTTGACGGTTCATGCGACCACCCAATAAGACTGTCCGGTTGGAAGACCCCATTCTTGGCCGCATCTCTCAGCATCTTCTCCAATGACTTGAAGTCTGCATGCAGGAAGGCCTCCGGCGGTGGCTCCTGGAGCTGCTATGCGTGAGAAGAGGCCATCACATGGAATGAGGGTTGCAATCCTTATATTCCTATACAGGAAATCTGTAGTATATATATATGCTTATGTTTATGGTATAGACTGCAGGCCCCAGAATAATATAATTACACCCAATTCATGAGATCTAAATTTATTGAAAATTTAAAAGTAACATTCCATTTAAACAGGGTCATCCCATGTCATCCCTATGACTGGGGTTTCTTTTCAAATACAAAGATTCGGTCAACATACAGAGGACCCATTAAACACTTAGGGAGATTAGCCTTTATTTTAGCATGATCCTCCTAGTAACTATGCCCCCTATCTAAGTGGCAAGGTTTCTCAAACACCATGTGATGGAAAGAACTTTCACAATGAGGGCTTGCACAGGATAATCATCAGCGGTGAGATACCACACACCCCATCTAATTTGCAGGATTAAAATCCACTTGCAGACAACCCTCCAAGTCTCACAGGGTTATGGGTGGCAGCCAGCCACTAAAGCCAGGGACCCATAGCCCATGTCCTGCCACCCGTGATCCAATAACTTCGAAGCATCAAGCCAGTGTTCTGGCTGACCATGAAGTCCAGAATTGAATGCGGTGGCCTAGAAACAATTTGTTTTCAGAAAGGAGGACAGTTGATTTTTAGATTTGTTGCGTTTTGGGCAACATATACTCGGCTTACAGCAAAGCAGGGAATACTATTTTTTGAGACCCCCACTACCCATTGACGATGTAGGTGTGCCACTCGCCGTCCAAAACCCGCAGGGTAGCTGGCAGAAGATGATAAATGCTTCCCGCCTGACCTGGGAACAAAGCAACATCGATAATGTAATTCTAGTTCCCCTGTTTTTTGACGTTTGGAAGCTTCCAGGTCCCCAGAAACAATTCAGAAGGAAATTGCCTCTACATGTTCTAGTTTCAATGGCTTTGTTGGGGGTGTATCCCAAAAGTTTTTTGGGTGATGAATCAGAATCCATGGCCCAAAAAAGGGGATCCCGAAACTTTATTTCTTACTTGAAACATAAAAAGCTTTTGGATCCCCTATTTGGAGACATTCCTAATCAGTAGTTGTAAAGATTCAATCTTTATGATCAATAATAGGTTTCTTTTGGATTCGGATTTGGAGAAACTTCTGAACTGGGATGCATCTCCAGTTAAAGGAACCCTGGAAACAGTAAGGTCCCCACACTGAGTTTTTGAGACCTTTTTTTTTGACCTTGACAATCTCAATGTCATTCTCCTGCTGCTCCCGCTTGATTTGCTCCCGTCGAGGCTTGCTCAAGCTGTTGGCAAGAAGCATCATCCACGGCCTGGGCACTGGTCTTGGGGCATGGGTGCCAGGTTTGGTTCGTAGACATTTTAGGTTTCTGGTTAATTCGTTCAACAGGGCGCACCATCTTTAAATGGAACCTGCTTCATCTTTAAACATAATGTTTGGACAGGCATGTCTGGATGCTATGCATGCAAGTAGCTACAAACTAATCTACCAATCCCTTTCCACCCCAGAAGCTTTGGTTTAGCCAGGGATCAATGTGGTGTCCCAGAAAAAGTGCATTTCTTTACAGGGGTAAAAGCCTAGAAGGACACTTTCCTCACACAGTTGAAACTGATAGGTAAGAATCTCATTTGCTAAAAATACCTACTCAGCAGGTTCCTTTGTAGAAATATTTGTTGGGGTTCGCGCAGGATTCTTGTGTATAGAATGCAACCAAAAACATGTTAAGACAATTTGGTGAGTTAGGATAGATATGTGTATAATTCATAACATATCTTTTACATCAGCCATTGGACACATTTATCTGCAGAAAGGCCCCATGTGCTCTAATCTTTCCCCAAGCCCCATGGTCATTTAGGGACCCATATTTTATAGACAAAAATTGATATTATGAGCACCCAAATGATTTTAGCAATTTCCAGACATAGGTTGGGGTCCAAGAGCTTTTAGCCCCATGCAGATAACACACCGCAAGTCACCACAATCAGCCAATGCACGCGTTGCCTATGCCCACTTGTGGCTTTTCCGATATCCCCCCATACTCCCCCATTGACCTGGGCCAGGGGGTGTTGAGGATGCAGTTAAACTATTTGATTGGTCCTGGACACTTTCACACACAACAACTAGCAATCTAACTAAGGATATGGCCATTTGACAATCAAAGGCTTAAGGAGGGGGTTGATCAGCAGCTGTATTGGCGGCATATGGGTTAAAGCAGTCCGGGCAGGGTTTTCTGCAAACCACACTGCCCCACGGATCACGCTGACCAGGGCAAAGATCATGAAGCGGGTGCAAAAGGTGGACCCTTCCATCACGAAGGCACACGTCTGGTTGCCATAAGGACATACGGAAGACCTTTGGTGGGTTCCCGACGACATCCACCCAAAAGATTCACAGGGGACCGCCCCATAGCACAGCCCAAAGGCCAGGAGTCTAAGACTGAGCAACAGCCCTTTGCAGAAACCTGTGTCACTTCTAAGATCAAAGGTCACATCCTCCTTGAAGTCATAGCCTTGCCTTAGATTCACAAACATCTTTGCAGGGAAATGGGCAATGTCCAAAACCATCAGTGTAAGTTTCGACATTGGATGGTGATGATGATAATTTATCATTTTCCGGTTGGATTGTCATTTCCCCCATTTCCCAAAAAGCAACAAAAATACCCAAAAAAGAACCCTCCCGCGGGGGTCCTTTTTGCAACTTTTCCTTTGCTGGGGCCCTCTTTGGGGGGTTTGAAACCAACAGGAAAATTGCTCATGATGATGCTAATGATGATGATGGTGATGATGATGATGATGATGATAGCGATGATGGTGATGATGATGTCCAGACAGGTAACACTCCATTGCCGATATCAGCCCACAGGTGTCTTGATTCATTTTTTCTGAGCACCAATTTTACGCCAGGGCACGCCTGCAACTTCAGTTCACCTGATATTCCAAGATCATTGGAACAAATTGCAGGTGGGGATGGGTGAGCCAACAAGACTTTCATATCAGCGGAAGGCAATTTAAGCATTCCTGGGTAACATACCCCCAAGTCCCTCCAATACTTGAAAACAGGAATCTCCAAATTGGAATGATGGGGTATTCTCCAAAAGGTCTACTTGGACTTGCTTTGGAATAAGCCGAGAGACGAAAGCCATTCACCACACTCTGCACCCCAGAAAAATATTCGCAGCAGTGTACATCCTGCACAATGCATTTGGGTGACAAGTACCAGGGCCCACGATTTTGTCTATCCACCCTATATAGATGCATGTATGCATGCTTACTTTTGGATATTGTCCCAATGACCATGTAAATACTTCCATATAAATGAGGCAACATTTTTCCTATGTGGGTTTTAGGAATCTTTTCATCATCTTATAATTTCAAAATCAGGTTGCCAGCCCAAAATGCCACCAAATACCATGAAAAAGCAGCAAGATGAATAGCACCCAGTCCCGGGAGGTCTCACTGGGCGCCACTGCTGCCACAAAATCCAGCGCATGGATCCTCAGAACACCCCTGTCTCTGAGGCAGCTGGGAGCTGCAGTTTTGCTGAAGAAAGGGTTTCTTTTATCATGAGGTAAAGGGGGGTAGGGATCATAAAAACCCTTTGAGATTGAATAGCCTCAAACCTATTGTTTGTAAACAATCATTTATGACCATAGAAAAGCACTGCAGTGTAAATTGGTGCCAGGGAACACTATGGGCGGCAGGCCAAACAGGAGTAGTAAAGCCACTTGCATGCGGCTCAACCGGATACTAAGTTGCGGTGAACGGACATTGCGAGCTGCTGGCATGGCTCCAATATGTAGCACAATCAGATCCGAGATGGGGAAATTGAATGCTGGCTGCTGGACATACAGCAAGGGCAAGCAGAAATGAAATCCTGTAAATGGGAATGGTCCAAGAATAAATGATTTTTCCAAAACCTGGGTTTTGTTTGTTGGGTCTTGCTTGACAACATCCCTACCAAAAAGCCTTGAACTTGTTGCAGCACAAGGGTTACAACGGGGGTTGGCGCACCTCTGCGGAATGCAGGGGCCACAGCATGACCACCATCTTGTTGTTGACGCCGGTGCCGCAATTGACCTGCCCACAAATTTTGTCAAGTGTAGTGATATAATATATATATATATATGTGTGTGTGTTTTTTGGAGGCATATGCATTCATCATTCAAAGGTTCAACATAATTGCCCCCAGAGTTTTGTAGCAAGTGCGACTTTGTTCTCAACTCCCCAGGCGGTCGCTCATCACATCGCATCCGTTCCCACAGAACAGGTGGCAAAGGCAGCAACACAAACAATTTGGTAGTATCCCCAAGGTCTTGGGATGTCTCCAGGCTTTTGTAGCCAAATCCCAAACTACCATGTGCGGAGGCCACCCCTTGTCACACATAAACAGTTTCACAGCGATCCAAAAGCATACACACTTGAACTTGTAGGCCAAAATGATCATATGATCATAGCTCATGTCCACGCGCGATCTTCACATATCACGCATGGTGCGATTCCGAAGGAACCCACCCAGCCAACACTTTGGCATGCTTCCACCTCAGATACTTGAAACCAATAATTCACATCAAACACTGAACAAAGGGTTTGCAAAGCTGTAGTGAATGCACCCATGGTACTGCATGGTCATACATACAAATAAATCTTTTTGTAACCAGATCCACCAAGCCACGCCTTTCCCATGTCCTCGTATTTATTCCATGACACAGTGCAGCGTCCAGAAGCGTCAGCTCGAATGCGATCATCACCTGTCGCGTGGCTGATGCAAAATTGCTCAGCAGACAAGACCACTAGGATCGGTCGAACATCATCGCGGGGAGGGCCAACCATGTAGCTCCTTAGCAATCTAGCACTCAAACAAAAATGTGCTGCAAGGCCAAACCAAGCGCAATTGACATGCACACTCTAAAGCGTAGCACATCTCAAACCAGGCTTTGGAGTAGTTACACTTCACTTTTTGTTTTTGGCACATGTTTGCACACACTTGTTAATTAATGTTAAAATGAGATTCATTTTGCTTTCATCCTTTGGTTCTTCCAAATCTGCAAGCATGTCAGGCAAGAGCTCCCTGCTGCGACGAAGCTTTGCCAAACCATTCTTCGCCTTCATCTCCCTCTTTCGTCTTTCCAGAACCTTTTTCGGGGTCTGATTGCCATGGGGGTTCCAAACCTTGCACGGTGTTTCCATGATTCCAGTCTTTCGGGCCTTGCGAGTCTTTGCAGGTGCTTTCTCAGTATCAGTCCCTTTCCTAGAGGGTTTTTTCATTTCCACAGCTTCCTCGGTTGCACTTGCCCCAGCTGCAGCACTTGGCTTCAGCACTGATTCCTTTTTGCTTTTTTTAGCCTCCTCCTTCTCCTGGCGCTTTGCCTCCTTTTCAGCTTTCTTCCTTTCTCGTTCTGCGCGTTTGGCTTGCATCTCCTGTTCTTTTTCTGCTTTTGCCTTCTGTTTTTCATTTTTCTCAGCTTCCTTTGCTGCAACTGCTGCTTTCTGCTCTTCCTTCTTTCTCTTCCGCATTGCTGCCTGTTCAGCAGCAATGTTCATTTCCTGTGGTTCGACTGGTTTTGCAAATTTCGCCAGAGCTGGGGGGAGAGGTACTGGGCGAGAAATCAAAGGACCCTTGCTCGAGTCAGGCCGAGAAGGTATCTTCAAGGTCTCCTGGAAAGAGCACAAACCATTTAACCTAGCACCATGCCAACCTCTTTCTTGACATGACTTTTGCTCAACTATAGCATATAGTGCATTATAGGTCAATTCGGTTGCAGTCTATGATCTACACAAAAATATGGGTTGTCATGTCATGAGCATGTAGCTCACAGGTTGTTGTAACTTTCACACGCATGAGGAACATTGACAAGGCAACCGCACAAATCTCCTTGTCAGGCTGTTGAGTCACAGGTGTTGGTGCTGATGGTTGGGAAGGTTCCCTTGAGGTCTGAGCCTTGACGACAGCAACTTCCTGCCAAGATGAAACACACCCCAGCCAAATTCCAAGTGAAACAAATCAAACATTTAAGTATATGTCAAATTTCTTGGAAGGTACTAGCAACAGGAAGTCCTTCATGCGAGGTGGCATCCAAGGATTGGGAAGCTGTGGACGGTAGGTTTCATAGTAGGCCACAAAGTCCAAAAAGTGTTTTGGCCCAAGAGACTTGACGACATCATCGTGCTCGGCCCAGTCATGGAACATTTTCTCAACCTCCATCGTCCAATCGACCTGGAGTCACAACTGGAAATTTTGAAACATTCAGATAAATTGTAGGCAAAAACACACCTTTGGCCCTTGCAGTCCCGACCAACCACTTGCCTTCTGCCTTTTGGTTGCTTTGGGTTCTGTGTCTGCCACCTGCTGCCATGTAAAACTCAACAAGGAGAAGCTGAGCTCTTAGAGTAGCTAAGCACAAAAAGGTCTAGTCTAGCACCTTGCTCACAGGCTTTTCCTTTGCAGCTTCTTTCCCATCCTCCAGCACTGAAGGTTCCCACAAATCAAAAGTGTCACAGATGAAATAAGTTTGGACCCTGCAAGTATCTTACTACACCGGACCATCCTGGAAGTCATCTTTTCGCTTGCTGTCAGAAGTCTTGGGTCGAGTCAGAGCCTGCGGCTTGCTTAGAAAGCACGGGCTAGTTTTACAACAGTATGTTTCTGAATGCAACTTGCTGACTGGCTAGGCATTAAATCTGTTCACACCCCCCGGCTTCAGTAAGACCAATCATGCTTAAAAAATGTCATCACACTTGTAATCAAGAATCAAGTGCAAACACCCGCACAGACACAGAACCATTGCAAACATACGACACAAATTTGAAGGACACATGTTCGGAGCCTCCCCCTTTGCAGGATCATCACCATGCAACCGGCTTTCCTTCAAAGCCTTGCTGTCAAGCAACTTGCCCACCCCAAACTTTTCACAGACAAGGAGCCAAGCCAGCAGAAACCACCCGGCCCTGCCTCAGCAAGCTCAGCAGAGTTGTCATGATCATCACCGCTGTCGATTTCAAGAGGAAACCCATCCACCTCACAGGTTGCGTGGCAAAACCAAAAAGCCCCATATTGTTAGGACAGCAGCATCCAGAACCCACACACATGATTTCAAAAGAAAACACAGGTCGAATCTTCTATATATATATATATATTTATTTATTTATATTATATATTGTGCTATATATAGCCTATTTCAGGCCCTGCCATGTTTCCCACCTGATCCATGGACATTGACAACGTGTCACAAACATCCATGTAGCTCTTTTGGTAAATGGAGTCATCAAAATTCGAAGGCCCATACACCTTGGGTTCCTCAGAGACCTCCTGGGGCATGGTTTGAACAGGGTAGGAGGCATAAGTGGGAACAAAACACACCATTGTCATACCAGTGCTTGCACCTACCACAAATAGCATGCATGCATGTAGGCACTCCTGTTCGTCCATTTCGTCTTGATCAAAAGGATCTTCTCTACGAAACCCAGGTGGGTCCGGTGATTTTTCAAGAGGATCTTCCTGCACAACACACATGTATGGTAAACATCGCACAAAATATTATATACTATCAAATCATATGATCATATCATATCATATCATATCATATCATATCATTCCAACTAGTTTTGGTGGGAGAGGGCGACAGAGGAGAGAAAAGAGAGAGGGAAAAGAAAGGGAGAGAGAGAGAGAGCTGTGGCTTTGGCCACAAATCAGAATGGGCTCAAGATGATTCAAGCAGCAACCTTTGTAGCTGTAGCTTTGGCCACAGAGTGGGCCTAAGGTGGCTCAAGAAGCAAGCATTGTAGCTGTAGCTTTGGCCACAGAGAGGGCTCCGGATCAGCCATGCCACAAGTAGCTGTAGCTTTGGCCACAGATGGGCTCAATGATGCAATCATTGTAGCTGTAGTTCTGATCACAGAATGGGCTCAAGATGGCTCAAAACACCAACTCCCCGCCCCAGATGCACAACAAAGCCCCAGAAAGCAGGAAGAACATACAGACAGACAGAGACAGACAGAGACAGACAGAGACAGACAGAGACAGACAGAGACAAACAGAGACAGACAGAGACAGACAGAGACAAACAGAGACAGACAGAGACAGACAGAGACAGACAGAGACATGACAGAGACAGACAGAGACAGACAGAGGCAGACAGAGACAGACAGGCAGACAGACAGGCAGACAGACACACATACATACAAATACATTTACATAGAATATGTATATATATATATATATTATATATATTTTTTATATGTTTGACTGCGAAAATTTGGTTTCAATGATGTCCAAACTTCATACCAACAATCCTTCAGCTCAACATCATCCAAGGCCAGGCTGTCAGTCGATTCCGACAGGTACTTAAATCGCGCACCACAATTGTTTGCCATTCCCCTCGCTTTTGCAACGATCTGCTTCAAGACCATCACCTGTTGGTTCCTGCTGAGGGCAGGCCATCCAGGTTACATTATAACCCCAATCAAAAGCTGGTTAGAACCAATAAGCCCATTCGCATAGCATTAATCATTAAGCACCACTAAAGGGGGTCCCAATATGTGTAATTCCACCTGGATTTGTGTTTAGGGTGGTAAGGTATTAAATGGGATGAAACTCATGTTAAAATGTTGGAAACATTTCACAGCCCAGTCCGTGCTGCCACTGTCCGGTATGTAATATTGACCGTGTGTCGTGCCAACTCCAAGAGCTTCCCTCCTTCGTACACTGCCCAGTCCTGCGTTTGAACTTGGATATGGATTGATTTGTAAAAAAATGCACTTGGCTCAAAAAAAAACGCAATTTGGATATACAGAGAGATGGGTATCAACTAATCTTCCCTTCGATGTCCCAATTTTTGAGCCATAGCTTTTTAGATAAAACACATGAAACATCACACAGCTCCTTAACGGTTTTTTTTCCTCCCCTCCGCTCATAGAGCTCTTGGGGAAAAAAATTGCACGTAACAGCCAGCAGAGCAAAGGCTGCCTCATTGCAAAGGAAACGGTTTTAAAAATAAACATAATCTAGATTTCCAGATTGGAAACTTATATGCATGTTGCAAAGGCTGCTCAATTCCACACCAAGGCCAACGCGGTTTCTACCAAGAAACTTTTTGATCTTCAGCTGACGGAAGCTTCCCGGCTGCAAAGGCGACCAAGTAGTCTCGCAGCAGGGGGTAGTTCTTGCATAAGTCCGCCTCATGCACCTCAGAAAAGGCAATAGATTTAAATTGGGAAGCACCCAACCATGAAATACCATGTTCCCCGGCTCTTCAAAATAGGATGTGTGGGTGACCAACTTGGCTGAAGATGCAGAATTTTGGATCTATTTTCAGAAACCCTTAGATGACACAGTGCGCTGGGTTTGCCTCATGCCCTATTCTTGTTTATAAGTTGGCTAGGGGTGGCTTGCCACAAGGCGACGTGATACATGGGCTTTTCCAAACAGGCGCACCTTAAAATAAGTTCTACTGTTTTGTTGGAATATCATATTTTCAGGCAAACCTGCAGGGTCCATATGCATACCTGCAATCAGAACTTGACTGTAGACCGCACATGCCTGACATACATTGACATACCATGTAATTATGGATTCCCAAATTCCTTTATTTGTCAAGTGACTACCATGGACTCCTTCTTCGAGTGGACAATTTGCTTGTCCTTGGCTGGCATGTAAAGATATTGATTCAAAAAGGTTTGGACCAGGGTCTTTCACAACTTTGAAGTAGAGGTTTCCTAAAATATAGGTATCCCAAATCATTTGTTTTGATAAAAAACATATAAACCATCCATTTTCCGTCAATTTGGGTACCCCCATTTTAGGAAACCCCCAGATGTTGCTTTCAAGTATCAGGGCTAGCCAGAATTTCTGGGAGCATCGGTTCTAAAGCAGGTTTGATCACGTCATGTATCATCTCAGCCATCTCCTTGCAAGAAAAGGGGAAGCCCAAACACCACAATCAAGGCATGTGGTGAAACCGAGCCTGATATTAAGAGCAGAAAGTTGACAACAACATGACAGGTTTTGATCTTGATGCAGGCTAAGTGCCCCAATATGGAGAGTCAGTGGGGATAGTAGGTGCTTTACACCTGGTGTGTCCGCAGACGCTGTTAAAAATCCAGCGGCCGCCATTGCGCCCACGGCTGAGGATTGAGCCACAACCACAGCTGATGGGCAGGCCGCAGCAGGTTTCAGAAAGCAGCACAAAGTGATCAATACCACTACCATCAAGCTCCGGTGTTGGTTACCGCATCCATTGTTTTTAAGTGAAAAACAACTTCCAAAAGACCAAAGCAAAATACCTTGCCTAGCAATGAGGCAGTTCGGAGAAGGCCCATCAGCGCAGCAAGAAAAACGGCACTGGACAGTTGTGAGTTTGAGAGGTGATTCAATGTTTGGGTAGCTTGGCCTCTTGTTATCCAAACTTGACAGATCTTAGGTCATGGTTTTCTTTGATCCACAGTGCCTGCAGCCAGGCTAACAGTTCACATTTACATCCTCAATCGTAAGTATGTGAATATGAACATATTTGGCCAAGACTGTGAATAGCACATGTTCAGCCAAGTCGGTCACCCACACATCCTTAGAGCCTTAGGGAGCATCAATGCGGGTAGAATGTGAGGGGAAAACAAAAGAAATCTTAGAGCGCAGCATCGATGATGTCTGAAAAGTGAAGAGAGTATCTGAAAGCGTAGCATCAACAATGTTGGACAGTTGAGAAGATCTTTGAGCGTAGAATGGCTGATGTTGGAAACTTGAAGAGAAGATCTTTGAGCGTAGCATCAATGATAGTAGAAAATTGAAGATCAGTTGCAGTTTGGAGATTGAAGAGAAGATCTTAGGGCGTAGCATCAATGATGGTAGAAACTTGGAAGAATGATGCGCAGATCTTGGAGCGTAGCATCAATGACGGTAGAGTATTTGCAAGTTGGGTAGATCTTAGAGCGTAGCAGCAACCAGTTAGAAGCCTAAGGAGAAGCTGCTGTGTAGTAGCATCAATGCATTCTATGTAAAACATGCAGAAGGTCTCAGAGCGTATCAAAGCGTAGCATCAAATAATGTTAGAAACTCTTATCCCCGGTGCGTTGCTTCTTTCCTTTCGTTTAACGCTTCCCTTCCATTTGCTACAGCGTTCCTTTCGTTTCAACTCTTCCCGTCCATTTGATGCTTCCTTTCTTTCGTTTCAACACTCCCATCCCGTTCATGTACTTCTTCCTTTCGTTTCAAGCCGTTCATGTGGTTACGTCCTTCCACTCGTCTCAATTCCTATACAATCCTTCCGGTTTCATGTTTCATTGTAACTAGCCTATTTCGTCTGTTACTTCCTTCTTTAAGTTTCAACACTCCCCCACGTTAGTTACTTCCTTCCTTTCGTTTCAACTCCTTCCCTCCGTTTGCTGTCAAGTCGTTCATTTCGTTACGTCCGTCCTTACGTTTCACCTCGTTTATAAACCCCCTTCGTTACTTCTTCCCCTTCGTTTCACCGCTTACACCTCCTACAATCTGTTCGTTACTTTAATTCTTTCGTCGATTCGTTGCAACTCTTTCCTTTCATTCCTTATATACTTCCTTCCATTCGTTTCAACGCTTCCCTTCCGTTCGGCCGTTCCTTTAGTTTCAACTCTCAACTCTTTCCTTTCATTCGTTACTGTCTTCCTTTCGTTTCAACTCTCTCCTTTCATTCGTTACTTCATTCCTTTCGTTTCAACTCTGACAGCCCGTTCCTTACTGCTTCCCTTCGTTTCAAGTCGTTCATTGCTGGCCGTGGTGCAAGAGATGTCCTACTTGTGTGATTATAACAAAAGCATTCAACCTAACTATGATAAAATTCATCTCTCGCCTTCGGCTGAAAAACATGATACGGATCGAACCAAAAGTGCTGGAAATCTGGTGAAGCAGTGGCTATACACAGGCGGTAAACAGTGGTAAACACCGAGAAATTAACCAGCATCCACGAAAAAAAGGTACGAATCAAAAATTTACCAGCACCCACAGTAAAAGCGATAAAATTCGAAAAAATATTTCTTTCCTTTCTTCCCTGTAGGGGGCACAAGCGTATACCCGGTCGACAAACAACACCTGCGAACCGGCCGAACCAAACTGATTTTAGCTGTTTCCGCTTTCAATTTGTTCTTTCCGTTCATTGTGTCCTTCCTTTCTTTTCAACTCACTGTTTCCTTTCCGTTCATTGCCTCCTTCCTTTCGTTTCGCCGCTTCCTTTCCATGCGTTACTTCTGTCCTTTCGTTCCATGTCTTATATTCCGTTCGTTACTTCTTCCCATTCGTTTCAACTCTTCGTGTCGTTTCAACTCTTCGTTTCCGTTCATTGCGTCTTTCCTTTCGTTTCACCTTTTCCCTACTATGCGTTACTTCCGTCCGCTCGTTTCAAGTTTTATATCTTGTTTCTTTCTTCTTCCCTTTCGTTTCAACTCTTCCCTGCCGTTTGCTCCGGCCTTCCTTCTGATTTAATTCTTCCTGTGTCGTCTCAACTTTTCCTTTCCGTTCGCTGCATCCTTTCTTTCATTTCAAGTCTCCTCTTCCATTTGTTACTTCCTTTCTTTCGTATTAACTCTTATGTCCTGTTCGTTTCGTTTTTCCTTCCGTTTCAACTCTTCCTTTCTATTCGTTGCGTCTGCGCCTTCGTCTTTCTTTCGTTTCAATTCTCCTCTTCCATTTGTTACTTCCTTTCTTTCGCATAAACTCTTATGTCCTGATCGTTCAGTTTTTCCTTCCGTTTCAACTCTTCCTTTCTATTCGTTGCGTCTGTGCCTTCGTATCAACTCTTCTGTCTTGCTCGTTTAGCTCTTCCTTTCCTTTCGCCTTGACCATTTCGTTGCGTCCATCCTTTCGTTTTAACTCTTCCCTCCTATTTGTTATTTCTTTCCTTTCGTTTCAACTCTCACCTCACGTTTCACAGAAAACTTGAAAAAAATGCCGTTCGCGAGAAACGCATTTTTTTCAAGTTTTCAAGGATGGGGCCATTCGGGCTGGTATTTGCCGTCCAAGCAGCCACTTGCGGCCACTTGCGGACACTCGAGTGGCTGCAAGTGGCTGCAAGTGGCTGCAAGTGTCTGCTTTTTTGAATTTCAAATACCGCGCGTTTTGCAACCTCAATGATTGTTTCTTGTTTTGATCTCATGCTTCTTCCTTCATGTCCTTTTGTCCTTGTTTGTCTCAATTTTGGCTTAAGGCCTGGATCATGACTAAACGGGATTCCTCATTTGCCGATTTAGATTCCCCCCGCAATCTAATGAGCTTCCCACGCCGTCATTCTGCCCAACATGGAAGCGGCGCTGCTTCTTCAACTGCCGCTTCTTCATCGTCAAATGCAATGTTGCCCTGGGCATACGAAACGGTCTCCCCTCAAAGACCTGCTGAAACAGGAACGACAGTCGAAGCCCATCAATTTGGCTATACTGCCGTGGTCCCTTCAGTTCCTCTACCACCTGTCAATCCACCAGGCCCTCCAATGGAAGCATATCCGTTACAATCGGAGCTGTCACAGAACCATCGGGTGCTCCACACACACATCTTCAAAGAAGTCATTCCGCCTCCCCAGTCAGGCCAAGGCAGTCGTCTGATGGTGACGGAAGTAGATCAGTATGGTGTTGAACGCAACCGTCAAGCGGAGTTCTTCTTCAATGGAATTGTTGGTCATGTCCGCTCCTACAATGGTGGACGCATCAACAGCTGGTCCGAGGCTACCCGCCTCGCCAATTACTGGCGTCGTCATTACAACATTCCCGAAGTACATGATGAAGATACCTCGTGGACCTCATCGTGGCAAGATCGCCACCGATCGGATGACAATGCGGATAACACGGCTGGAACCTATGGGGAAGAGCCAGAATCCGAAATGGAAGACGACACGTCAGTGACAGTTGAAACAGGCAATGTGCCGATTCCAAATCAGATCCACCAATTGGCATCTCTGCTTCACAATATTCTCCTTCTAACAGGGAATATAATGCACCAATCCTTGAGAAGCTCGAAACTCCTCCCGCAGATCCATTTCTCAGCAATTGATCTGGCCCACCTTGCCAGCCATTTGTCTATCACTTCGCAGACTCTTGCCCAACATGCTCAGAATCATGAACTGTATGACATCTCGGAGATCTCCGACTAGATCGGGCGCGAGCTGAACGTTAACTCCTGAGTTGGGCTGGGAATTAACTCTTGTCACTGGTTTTTTGATTACATAACGTGTTTCCAGTTGACCGTATCAGAGCGTGACTTACCTGTCCATGTGCCAAAAACCTGCGTCAGCAGGGCGTGTGTGTGAACCATCTGAAAAGATGTAAAACTTCTACTTCCGATTTTACCTGTTCCTTCTTCATTTCACTTCTGGCACGAGAAAAGACGTTAAACTTCCCTGTTTTTTGTCGGCATTATTTCATTTCATTTCAAGCAGGGGGGCACAGAAGGCCCATAGAGCTGTGCCCAACGAAGCTCTCTATGGTGTCCTTAGGATATCCAGGCTGATCACCTGGACGTACCTGCATCCATTTCAACAGTTTCGATGTCAATTTTCTGAAATGGCGACCGGCCAAGCCAAGAACCGGCATGTCGATCAGTTGAAAGGTTGTTCATGTCAATGCACTGTTGTCGCAATCTGGTTTCTCAGTTGTCACTAGAGGGATCTACTTCTCACTTTTTCCAATCTAGTACTGGACATGGCAATGATACTTTTCGAACTTTCTCTGGTCTCTTCACCAACCCATTCCTGTCAGGTATAACTGAATTGTTTTTGCAGGTAAGATGCATTCCACATCAAAATTCGCAATGACTGTTCTGAGCAAGTGTGTGAACCATCTGAAGAGATGTAAAACTTCTAAATTTGCTTCTTCCAATTCTCGAAGGCAGGGGGCACAGGCCCATTGTGGATACCTGTGCCAACGAAGCTATTCCACAATGGGGGAAGCGGAGATTGATCACCTCCGTGTACCTGCAATTTTCCAATTTATCGTCGATGGCAACCGGCCAGGCCAAGAACCGGCATGTTGTTTTTCAAGCAATTTTCAAACCAAACTTGATGTCAGGGAGGTAATGACTTGGTTCAGATGGAAATGTTGCATCTAGCAGTGGCTTTGAAACACATTCTTCTCGATCCTTCTCGGATCTGATCTTCAACCTTTTCCTGTCAGGTATAACTGAATTGTTTTTGCACGTAGGATGCATTCCACATCAGAATTCCCAAAGATTGTTCTGAGCAAGTGTGTGATTCATGCTGGATTCGTCATGGTGGCATGAACCCCTCTGGGAATGCTTGTCTA